TCATTTTGTCATGAAGTGCAAAATATAAACTTTATTATATATGTTATGAAACTCCAAAGGACTTACCCATAGTTTTTTAAGCTTGAGACATGGTGATTTTGTAAATATAATCACACTATATACAATAATATTTTGTTCAGATTGTATGCGAGTTTGAACTGCGTCACTTCACAGTTTATGATACATCACACTTTGAAGTGCGTGTGCCACTTCTCGAAGCAGTCCACAACACACAGCCCAACATCACACTTTTTACAATAGTAAAGGGAGCTCCTGGTTTTCTTATTTTGCGAACATGCACGACAACGTCTTTGTTTCCCTTTGGCTGGCCAGTGTTGCGAATGTTTCACCTCCAGTCGACTCAGTTCGGCCCCAGATGAACTTGGCCGCCCCCGAGAAACACCACTGTCCGTGATATTCGCCTTGTGTGATTGAAGAATCATCGTGGGGGAGGGGGCTTTCCAGCTAAATCGAATAAATTATGTTGACTGACATAGTGACACTCCCACCTGTTAGTAATACTTGCAAAATAATGATTCAATGTAATTATAATACTAGTTGAAAAGAGTGCCAGTCCAACACCAATACCAAAAGTCACAGTGACGAAGATGCCCTTTACTCACAAAGTTATACTGGCTCAGTGGTCTTATAACTCTTCCAAGACACAAAATAAAAATGATATATAAAGAAATGATGGTCTGACACTGACTTTCTAACTGATAATTCACTACTGAAAACGTCACACTTCCTTGAAAGCTCTAGAAGCACTAATCTGCGAGCAGAGAAGAATATTTACTCCTCAGTTCTCAAAACAAAGTCGGGCTCTATTTAGCTGACCAGGTCATAAACAGTCATAACTAAATGTAAATAGTACGTAGGGTGTTACTTGCTACTAGATATATCTAACATTCGTATGTTAAAGGTTAAAGTATGTAAATATGAGGTTAAACATACAATATATGAATAAAATTCAACCTTAAATATTGGTCCAGTGTAAAAGCAGAAGTATTTACACATCAGAAACACAAACCTGCCTATAAGGAAAACAGACGGCAAAACATCTGAAAAAACGCACTGCTAAAAAATGTGTGTGACAAGTTGAATGTGTTCCAGACACGGCGTAACTTGACAGGTACCGTACCATCATTTTGACTTACTCCTGACTCTCTGGTAACAAGCAAAGCATTCTTTAGTTGTTTTGTAGCCCTTGGCTTGAGATGGAGTTATTTATAATTGGTAATGAATAAGCGTTGATGCAAATCCTACAATAGTACTTCCATTAATACTAACTTTTCCTATATGAACACTCAAAATATGAAGAAACAACTGCCTTTCCTTCAAAGAGTTTTGACAGTTTATATCAAAACGTAATGGTTAAAAGAATTTAAATCGCTTCAGTTACATTTATTTTTGTACAAAATGTGAACTGAATGGATACTTAACAACATATCCTTCATTGTTGCTCTCTGTCTCAACACAACAACTATCAAACTCTCATTCACATTTACTGTGTTTGTTGAGTTTACTAGTCTTAATAGTATGACAATGTGCTACATTTTTTGGCTTATAAAGTCATCATCAGGCAGTATACATTAACAAACATTTTCCAACTATTTAACTGTGCTTTATATGATCACATATTATAATACTCGTATAACAAATACTAGTAATGTAACCGGCTTTCTACTCAGTTAATATATTCAACATTTTGTCAGAATTAATACAAGTCTTATAAATGTATTACAATTGGAATGAAAGTTCTGCATTCAAATGGATGCCTAGAGATATATATAAATGTATTTACAATAACAAATTAAGTTAATTAAATTGTTGTTTGTTATATTTATGATATTTGTCACGTCTAAATATCACTACATAATGTGACGTGCTATATGATGTCCATCACTGCACGACCGCCACAATGGGAACGCATACTTCAGCGACAAGAAATACATGGAAACTGTTGAGTTCCCACAGCGATGAACTGAATACCAGCAGACTGCTGCGCAGGAAAATCTGTGGCAATGAACTGTTTGAAACAACGGAAATAATGCATTTCCATGGTAACAAGCACAGACCATGTGAAATTGAACCGTGGGAGGTGCTCTCTATTGTGTTCAAGACCCCC